GCCTGTTCCGTACTGCTGATGATATCCAAGGTAATAATGCACAGAGTGAACGTTCTTGCGGAGATGATAATCTCCCCGTTCTACCCCTTTCGTGCCAAACGTGAGTGTAACTTTTTCTCTCAGTGAAGTGCAGTTGTGGGGGTTAAAACCACCTTTTGTTTTTTTTTCAAACAATATGGCAACCCCACAACTCACAATAGGTATTCGGTGTATTTCGATATTTCGACCCGTTTCAATACCCCACCCGAGGGGTTAGCAACTCGAATTTTATTTTACGTCCCGCGGACCTATCCGTTCGCGACGGCGGTCGGGCCAGGAGTGCGCGGCTCGACTGGCTGTATCGCTGAGACGGAACGATTCGGCGTTCTCGGCGGACTGCTCGGATGCTGCTAGGCAGAGTGGTCGCGGAGAACTGGAGAGGGCATCGTGGTATCTGCTCGCTGCTGAATCTCTTCGATCTCTCTCGAATCTGTTGAATCTGTTACTCCGATCAAATTTTCGCGTTCTTATAAAGGATTAGGGCGGACCGAACACTGAGCGCTCGCGCTCGCTGGCGTCGAATCTCAAAAAGGCCCCCTAATCACTCTTGTGCAAAAAATGATCGTTTTTGATATTCTTTGATTTTGACGAAACTTGGCACGATTGAAGATCTGAACGTTCTGATTCTGAATCTGCAGTTACTTTTTTCCTAACTTGTCGTTTTCGAAAGTTATAAAGCGCGGTTCGCGACACCTCCCCACCTATTGTGAAGTTGTTTTGGGTGCGTTTTTACGCAGAGCCTTTATTTTCACAATAATAATGGTTTACATAAGGTTTCAGTCGCATAATGCTTACAAACCCTGCAAGAGAAGAATATTCACAGAAATCGTTCAATTATTACAAAAATGGTATACATTTCTTATCAGTAATATCTTACAATCGTTGATTACCTCGTTGCAAAAGTGCGTTCGGCACTTCTATTCAGCAATGTGTTATAATCGTTAACCAAGTAGTTGCAAAAATGCACTTGGCATTTCTATTCAGCAATGTCACATAATCTTTGATTCAGTAGTTGCAAAAATGCGCTCGGCATCTCTATTCAGCAACTTTACTAAAATTGACCAAGTAGTTGCAAAAATGCGCTCGGCATTTCTATTCAGCCACTTTACCTTGGTACACGATTTCTCCTGAAATTAACCAACAATTTTTGGTTTCCTTAAAACTACCCTATCACGGAACTATATACAACAGTGACAGGTGCTCTGATACCTGTCAACTGCAAGGATAAACTATATCTAATATTTTACAAGTGGCTTCTACTCCCGTGAGTAGCAATCTGGTTGTTGTCTATCTCACGGTTTCCAACAAAGTCCGATTGGAACGGAACCGCGGTTTCGCGCACACAAACGCACTGTTCACTGCACGGTAAACTAGGGCTTATGTTACAACGTTATTACAGTGAAAATCAGAGCTCTATCGCGGAGATACGTGGTGATAGTGTATGGTGGGCGTGAAAACCATTCAAAACACTTCATACTCCCCCCCTTCGGATAGTTGCATGGCTGGTTGGGCTCGACGTGTCCAACTTGAAAAATCGAGATATATATATAGTTTTCATCACTAGTTTAGGGTGAGAACGGAAGATCTTCAGGGAGAATGTCTTGAGACTCATCCTCGTCCGGACGTGGAATGAGGATGTCTCGGGCCCTAGAGTTTATTACTCTATATCGGGTTCTCGATGGTCTGAGGTCATCTACGTGAAGTTGTGCAACCCCATTATCGTGGAGGACCTCATACGTGACATCATCGAGTTGTTTCACGACTTGATATGGACCCACCCATTTCTTTGCAAATGGTTCATTTCGACGTTCGCGCATCATGACCTGGTCTCCAGGCTGAAATGAGACAGCGGGGGGGTCAGTAGCGTGCGGGAACAAATCCCTGGCGTACACAATCTGCTTTCGGCGCGCGTCCTCGCGCTTTCGCCGAAGTTCAGCCGTCTGCTGGGCACGTTCGACTTGGAAATTGGGGTGTTTCCATTCGCCGGGCCTAGGAAGGGTGTAGCCAGTGACATACTCGGCCGGGGTGATTCCCGTGGCGAGATTCGTCCTGTTTCTCAATGCGAAGAGTATGCTATTTAAGTCTCTTTCCCAGCTCGTGGGCAGTGTTGACGACATCACTCTAGCTCGTATTGCCTTTTTCAACTCCTGATTCCGTCTCTCCACCGGATTCGCTCTCTGGTGATATGCCGATGAGATACGGTGTTCGATGCTGTTCTTTTCAAGATACTCGACCCACTGTCTACCTTGAAAAGTGCTGGAACCATCTGTGATCACGAGTTTTGGGTATCCCCATCTCGTGCACATGTTATGCAAGAAACTAACGGCTGTTTTTGAGACTACATCTGGTTTGGGTTCGGCCTCTACCCATTTACTCGCAATGCAAGTACCGACAAACAGGATCGTATTTCCTGTTTGGGTCCTCGGGTAGGGCCCCATGGGATCAATACTGATGACTTGGAAGGGTCCTTGAGGGAGAATAGGCCTCTGGGGGGCGGCTGGCTGTGCCGCGCCTGGTTTCGTACAAGTGCAAACTAGACAAGCGTGTACGAAGCGTTTCACTAGGTCCTTCAGACCAGTCGCGTAGTACAGTCTAGTTGCTGACTTATATGTTTCCAGTACCCCAGGGTGACAGGCATCCTCATGATCGTGGAATCTATGGATTAGTCGGGCAAGCTTATGTTTCGGAACTACAAGCTGCCTAGCATGACTACCCTCCACGGACGATTGTTTCCACAAAAGATCATCCTTAACCTCAAAAGAATTCCAAAGTCGACTCTCCCATGGTTCCAAACGTTCTCTTTCCTCTGGTGTCAACGACCTTAGCATTTCCCAATGACTTACCGCGTCCTTCACCTCAGGACAGTCTTGTTGGGAAGCTGCAATTTCAGCGAACAGATCGTCGCGCTCGAGAAGAGAACACGTTTGCGGACTAGCACGATCTGATTCCTCATCAGACTCGGTTTCAGGCGTTTCCTTATAGTCCGGCACCACTAAACGGCTATCATCCGGTTGTTGGCACTGTATATTGGCCGGGTGTCGCGACAAGTAATCCGCCAACTCATTGTCCTTGCCTTGGCAATGATGGATCTCAAATGAGAATTCTTGCAAATGAAGAGCCCACCTCGTTAGCTTAGCTCGTTCATCCTTGAACTGGTTTAGCCAAACCAGAGCTTTGCTATCGGTTACAAGATGGAACTTTTTCCCTTCAAGATACGGCTGGTACATTTTACATGCCCATATAACCGCCAAGCATTCCTGCTCATTTATGTGATAGCGCTGCTCAGCTGGCTTGAATTTAGCGCTGGCATAACTGATCACTCTCTTTTGCCCGTCCGCCGATTTTTGGTATAGCACGCATCCCATGCCTTGCTTAGAGGCATCAGTTTGTATCCAAAAGTCTAAGTCGTTCTTAGGCCTGTACAACTGTAAGGGTTGGGTCATACTATCCTTCAAAGCTTGGAACGCAGCCTCAGCTGCCTCGTTCCACTTGAAAGGGTTTTGGTGGAAGTGAGGTCTGTAAGAGGGCCGGAGATGTCCGCGAAGTTCGGTACAAACTCCCTCAGCCAATTTGCCGTTCCTAGGAACTGTCGCAACTCTTTCCTTGTTTTTGGTCGTGGATGTTCCGTTATGCTGGCTAAATGACAGGCTTGGGGTCGGTTTATCTCCTGCGAGATTACAAAACCTAAATACTCCAATTCTTTCGCAGCAATTGAGCATTTCTCGATGTTCACCGTCAGGTTATGCGCCCGAAACCTTTCCAAAACGAGATGAACGTGTTTTTCGTGATCTTCCCAATTATTGGAATAGACCAACACGTCATCCAGGTAGATTTTCACGAATTTATCGATATAACCTGCCAACACTTCTGCCATGAGCTTGGTGAAGGTGGCTGGGGCATTTTTCAGCCCAAACGGCATCACCGTAAATTCGTACGCTGCCCCGTCGGGTGTCACGAAGGCCGTCATATGAGCGGCTCGTTCGGACATCTTCACCTGCCAATAACCAGCTAACAAATCCATAGACGTAAAACATTTCGCCTCTCCCAAATCCCGAATGGTTTCGCGGATATTGGGCATTTGCGTGACTTCATCTACTGTTATCGCGTTCAGCTTCCGGTAATCCACGCAAAATCGAACTTCCCCATTCTTCTTACGCACCAAGACAATAGGCGACGCGAAGTTGGAATTGCTGCGTCGGATGACTCCCTTACTAAGCATCTTCGCAACTTCTGCCTGTATTATTCGTCTTTTCTCAGGTGTGTAAGTGTAACGACGTTCTCGGACAGTAATATTGTTTCTCAAAACAATATCGTGACGGGCGGTGGCTGTATGCGCCATCCCCCAATCTTCCGTGAAAACATCCGGAAAATTTTGTATCACTTTTGCAATTTCCGGTGGAGTTCCGCTAGGAACTGCAACACTGGTATTCTTACGACGGGCCTGGTATAACCAACTAAGAGCATGCCGCTTCTCGACCCCCACGTATACCACATGATGCATGTAATCCACTATCGCTTGTTCCGCCAGATGCCAATCTACCCCTAAGATCATTTGATCTTTTAGGTTCGGAAAAACGTGGAACGTATGACAAAACCATCTATCTTGAATACTGAAATTCAACTTAACCTTTCCCAAAGTCTGAACGGAACTTCCAGCTTCTGCAAGCTGGATTTCCACGGATTTGCCTTCCACCCTGTATCCTTCTATCACATCGGGGTGTATGAAAGATATGGACGCCCCACTGTCCAAAAGGGCCCAAATCCGTTTCTTCTTCACTTGGGCTTGAAAACGAATGAGTCGCGGACTCGATCGTTTACTCTCATTCGCGGAAAGTGCTGTCACTTTCGACTGGTCGGAGATCAGGTTTGTCAAATTACGTTTCCGTTTCGTCGCCTTTTCCGATTTGATCTAGATTGACAGAGGTCCGACGAGACGGCTGCTGGCTCAGCCTCTCGCCGATTCAAAAATTTAAAGACTCTGCAATTTCGATTGCATCAAGGTCCGACCGTTCGCGACCTTTGCCCTTTTTCCTGTAGGGTTTTCCAACCTTTGCAGGCCCTTGACTAGGGGAGTGGACATCGACCACCACCTGCTGTTGGATCGGTTGTCCTTCCTTCTGTCGGGAGTCTGTCCTATTGGACCACCCTGTAGATGGAGGATTTCTTGAACCTTTACCCCTATTTTCCATTTTTGCAGCCGCTTTCGCTGAAGGGTTTCTGCGGTTGGAACTATTTTGCTTCGGACGCCCCTCCTTACGAGGTGGTTCAGTCTGCTTTGACCGTCCTTCAGACATAGGACTTTTCCTATCTTTGGTTTTCCTTTCCATTTGGGCAGCCACTCTCTCCGGAGGGTTCTGCCTAGGAATCGTTTTATTATCCGACTGTTTCTGGTGGGTGTTAGGACTTGACGTTGGAAATTCGTCCCTTTGGGTTGCCTCAGCGGACATTGACTCTGGTGATGGGCTCCTTCGCAAGTCCAACACTTTGGCTGTCTAGGTGGTTGGTCAGAATTTCGTGACTGGCCGACCTCTTTTTCACAAAAGAGGACTGGGCCGCCTTTCCTTCCCAATGCACCAGCTTGCAAATTTGCGTAATCACCCTCGATTTCACTCGCCACGTGGACAGCTCGGCCAATGTGCTCACTGCACAGCTCGCAGCATCATCCTTAGCTCCGGTCGTAAAAGTGCTGTCACTTGTACGACGCGTTCACGTGGAGACGTGGTCGGAGCAATTCGTTCGAACAATCCCTCTTTGGCAGCAATAAAAATCTCAGTTGGCTCGGATTTTTGCGTTTCACCAAACAATTTGGCCCTCAAGGCACAATGCTTTTCCGGTGAGTCGAATTCTTTTAAAATTCGCGCACGGACATCGTCGTACCGAATGTTCAAGTGTTTCAATGAGCAAACACAATTTTTCCGCTTTGCCTTCCAGTTGTTCTAACGCTATTTCCGCCCATTCCTCGCTGGGAATATCATATCGACGGAAATACGATCCAGTTTTCCGAAGAAAACCTCTGGATCTTGCCAATCACGTCCACTAAATCGCGGTAACCTCGGGGGAGGGGACTGAGTCGCGTTTGATTGATTAAAGTCGAGGCTATCCCCGCCGTTAGACTTTGCAAGTCCCCTACCTGATCCTGCAAACTCTGTGCGACACTGCTGTGTCCACTATGGATGCTCAGGCGGTCACCTTGCGCAGAATATCGGTCCCTTAATAAATTATTATCACCCCCACCATACACTGAACCCCCTAAATCACAAACATTACCATTACAAATATCAATCCAATCATATCATCAATATAATCGAGTCATTGTCATGTAAAATATTGTTATGATTCACATTCACGGGGTGTACAGCATTCAGCCGATTTACTCTGGTTATAACACTATTATTGTTTGAATAAGCAGGTCTTCCATTACTACCTTCATGGAAGGCCCCACGTTGGGCGACATGAACGTCTACCTCCTATATTATCGTTTAATTTCGATACCACCACGACATCCCCGCGTACTATACACTTCCTGTCGAACCGTGTATGTGCTTCATCGCACTTTAGCTCCACGGTGATGTTTTGGTATCTCTGACCAACACTGTCGGTCGATTGGGGGTGCGCGCCCACGATCGCATCGCGTGTGAAACGCGTGCTTGCGATCGCGGCACGTCGCACCGCGTCGGCATCCTCGCCTGGGAGGCCGACCTGGGGATTCTGATTCGAATCCAGGTTGTCGATCCTCGGATCGGCGACACGACCAAGTACTGTTGAGACTCTTGGTTGGAGGAGACGGCAGGACAGTCGAGGAAGGCTCCCTTTCTTGCACCGAGAGCTGGTGCCGGGCTGAATGACTGTATCACCGGCGCGGAATTCACGTCAAGTGGAGAAGTCACACGGAAATCACTAACATCGCACCTACCTTGACCCTGGGCCTGTGTGGCTGAACGGAGGGGGGCTGGAGAAGTCAAGTCTCCTATGACCTGACTGCGATGCGTGGTCCCTGCAACTTCCTCTTTTCTGCATACAGCGTCGACACCGTCATCGATGAGGGAGCGTGGGCGATCCTCGCGCTGTCGTCGTGTCGTCTTTTTATTTCTCGATGTCATCTTCACGGAGCTCGGCCTGTTCCGTACTGCTGATGATATCCAAGGTAATAATGCACAGAGTGAACGTTCTTGCGGAGATGATAATCTCCCCGTTCTACCCCTTTCGTGCCAACGTGAGTGTAACTTTTTCTCTCAGTGAAGTGCAGTTGTGGGGGTTAAAACCACCTTTGTTTTTTTTTTCAAACAATATGGCAACCCCACAACTCACAATAGGTATTCGGTGTATTTCGATATTTCGACCCGTTTCAATACCCCACCCGAGGGGTTAGCAACTCGAATTTTATTTTACGTCCCGCGGACCTATCCGTTCGCGACGGCGGTCGGGCCAGGAGTGCGCGGCTCGACTGGCTGTATCGCTGAGACGGAACGATTCGGCGTTCTCGGCGGACTGCTCGGATGCTGCTAGGCAGAGTGGTCGCGGAGAACTGGAGAGGGCATCGTGGTATCTGCTCGCTGCTGAATCTCTTCGATCTCTCTCGAATCTGTTGAATCTGTTACTCCGATCAAATTTTCGCGTTCTTATAAAGGATTAGGGCGGACCGAACACTGAGCGCTCGCGCTCGCTGGCGTCGAATCTCAAAAAGGCCCCCTAATCACTCTTGTGCAAAAAATGATCGTTTTTGATATTCTTTGATTTTGACGAAACTTGGCACGATTGAAGATCTGAACGTTCTGATTCTGAATCTGCAGTTACTTTTTTCCTAACTTGTCGTTTTCGAAAGTTATAAAGCGCGGTTCGCGACAACGCTGAATTTACCTCTCACATTCATTCGACATTCGTTCTCTTAGCGAGATCGTCGATCAGTGATTGCAAAAGATCGCGCGTATACAATAATCTGTCTCCTCTTCACGACTCGTAAACATGGCAGATACGGAAAACCAGAA